TAACTAATTACTTTTGAGCTTTTCCTCCTTTTCTTTTCTTTTCTTTTCTCTTTTCTCTTCTTTTCTTTTCTCTTCTTTTCTCTTCTTTTCTCTTCTTTTCTTTTCTCTTCTTTTCTCTTGAGATAGAGTCTCACCCTATTGCTCAGGCTGGAGTGCAATGGCATGATCTCAGCTTGCTCGGCCTCCGCCTCGCGAGGTTCAAGCGAATTCTCCTGCCTCAGCCTCCTGGGTAGCTGGGATTACAGTTGCCCCTCGACCACTGCTGGCTAATTTTTTTTTTTTTTTTTTTTGGTATCTTTAGTAGAGATTAATTTGACCATGATAGCCAGGCTGGTCTCAAACTCCTGACCCATGATCCAGCCCCTATGGCCTCCCAAAGTCCTGGGATTATAGGCGTGAGCCACCGTGCCTGGCTGCTTTTTTTTTTTCCCCTCTTTTCTAATATAAGCCTACAAGGCTACAAATTTCAACAAAGGTTTGTAGCTACACTCCACAAGCGTTAACATGTAATATTTTTGCTATTCATCTATTTTTTTTTTTTTTTTTGAGACAGAGTCCTGCTCTGTCCCGCCAGGCTCACAGTGCAGTGGCGTGATCTCAGCTCACTGCCACCTTCATCTCTCCCTGGGTTGGGTGACTCTCATGCCTCAGCCTCCTGAGTAGTTGGGATTACAGGCGTGCGCCACCACACCCAGCTAATTTTTGTATTTTTAGTACAGATGGGGTTTTATCATGTTGTAGGATGGTCTCGATCTCCTGACCTCATGATCCACACACCTTGGCCCCCCAAAGTGCTGGGATTACAGTCGTGAGCCACCGCGCCCGGCCTTTGCTATTCATCTATAACAGTGTCTTTTCTAATCTTTGTTATGGGCTCTCTTTCTATTGAGGTTTTGTTGTTTGTTTTTTGGGGGAATGGGATTGATTGCATGAGGAAACACCAGGTAAATGGCATAATTATAATCCTTGCTTCATGAGACAGTATAGTTGATTTATACAAATCCCTTTCTTCATGCATTTATTAAGATGAAATTTACATAGCACATGAATCATTTTAAACTGAACAGTTCCGTGGCATTTAGTGCATTTGCAATGTTGTACAACGACTTCCAAAAACATTTTCACCACTGCAAATAAAACTCTGTACCATGAAACAGTTTCTTCCTGTGCCTTCACCCTGCAGCCCCCAGCAACTATATATATACATTTTATTTTTACAGGTTTACCTCTTCTGGATATTTCATATAGGTGGAATCATAAACTGTGTGAACTTTCTGTCTGGCTTCTTACACTGAGCATAATGCTTTCAGGGTTCATTTACATGTAGCGTTTGTCACTGCTGTATTCCTTTTCATGGCTGAGTAGTATTCCACTGTATGGATGGACAATTTGTTTATACCATTTGCTATTGGACATATGGGATGTTTCTATGGCTTTTTTCCCCCAGACAGAGTCTCACCCTGTTGCTCAGGCTGGAGTACAGTCAACATGATCACCCAGCCCACAGTAATCTTGTACTCCTGGGCTCAGGCAATCCTCCCACTCAGCTTCCTGAAGTAGCTGGGAGTATCGTCATGCCACCACACCTGCTGATTTTCTATTTTTGCAGGAATATGTCTCACTATGTTGTCCAGGCTGGTCTCGGAACTCCTGGGCTCAGCTGTCCTCCTGGTTCGACCTCCCAAAGTGTTGGGATTACAGCAGCGAACCATTGTAACAACTTGTTTCTACCTTTATTGTGACTAGTGCTGCTATGAACATTCATGTGTAAATATTTGAGTAACTGCTTCCATTTCTTTTGGGTCTATTCTAGGGTGGAATTGCTGGTTTTGAGACAGAGTTTCGCTCTTCTTACCCAGGCTGGAGTGCAGTGGTACGATCTTGACTCACTGCAACCTGTGCCTCCCGGGTTCAAGCGATTCTCCTGCCTCAGTCTCCTGAGTACCTGGGATTACAGGCACGCACCACCATGCCCGGCTAATTTTGTATTTTTAGGAGAGATGGGGTGTCTCCATGTTGGTCAGGCTGGTCTCGAACTCACTACCTCAGGTGATCCACCCGCCTCGGCCTCCCAAAGTTCTGGGATTATAGAGCCCACACCCGAGCCACCGCAGCTGGTCAACACTTCTTTCATTATACCCACTCTTGTGGATGTAAAAAGTGGTTTTGTTTGTATTTTCCTAACAACTAATGATGTTGAATATCTTTTCATGTGCTTGTTGGCCATTTCTTTTTAGGATTTTTTTGTCTTTTTCCTTTTTAGGCGGAATCTTTTGCTGTTGTTGCCCAGGCTGAAGTGCAGTAGGCGTGATCTCGGCTCACTGCAATCTCTGCCTCCTGGGTTCAAGCGATTCTTCTGCCTCAACCTCCCGAGTAGCTGGGACTACAGGCACATGCCACATACCGGGCTAGTTTTTTGTATTTTTAGTAGAGATGGGGTTTCACCATGATGGCCTCGAACTCCTGATGGTGATCCACCCGCCTCGGCCTCCCCAACGTGCTGGGATTGTAGAGTGTGAGCCACCACACTCAGCCAAAGAAATTTCTATTATTCAAGTCCTTTGTCTGTCTGTTTCTTTTCTTGTGGAGACAGGAGTCTTGCTATATTTCCCAGGTTGGTCTTGAATTCCTGGACTTAATTGATCCTCTTGCGAAGCCCCAAAGTGCTGGGATTACAGGTCTGAGCCACCACCACCTGGTCTCTGCCCTTTTTTTTTTTTTTTTTTTTTTTGAGACGGAGTCTGGCTCACACTGCCCAGGCTGGAGTGCAGTGGCATGATCTTGACCCCACTGCAACCTCCGTCTCCCAGGTTCAAGTGATTCTCCTCAGCCTCCCGAGTAGCTGGGATTACAGGCGCCCACCACCACGCTGGCTACTTTTTGTATTTTTAGTAGAGATGGGGTTTCGCCATGTTGGCCAGGCTGGTCTCCCGACTCCTGACCTCAGGGGTGACCTGCCCGCAGCCTCCAAGTGCTAGGATTACAGGCATGAGCACTACCGTGCCTAGCCACCCATTTTTTCAAATTAGGATTTTTGTTGTTGTTTGAGTTGTAAGACATATGTATATATACACACACACACACACACACACATGCATATACATATATATATATATATATCTATGGATTCTAGAACCTCTTCAGATATATATCGTATGGAAATATTTTCTTTCATTTTGTAGCTTGTCATATCCCTTTAAAAATTGTATTTAATAATGTGTGTGTCACTTCACTTCAAAAACTTCACCTCTCTGACGCATGTAATCCCAGCACTTTGGGAGGCCGAGGCAGGTGGATCACCTGAGGTCAGGAGTTCGAGTCCAGCCTGACCAACATGACAGAACCACCTCTCTAGCCTGGGCGTGGTGGCGCGTGCCACCTGTAGTCCCAGCTACTCAGGAGGCTGAGGCAGGAAGCTTGCTTGAACCCAGGAGCGGAGGTTGCAGTGAGCCGAGATGGCACCAATGCATTCCAGCCTGGGTGGCAGAGAGAGACTCCGTCTCAAAAAAGAAAAAAAACTTTATTTCACTTCAAAAACTCAAACAGTGATAGTAATTGATATCTATCTGATCCCACCCCTTACCTTCCCCAGATCAAAGATAATTTACTAATTGAACTGGTATTTATATTTTATTATAGTTCTACTAGCATTCCATGCCTATACATTATTTCATTTTAGGTGGTTTTGAGCTTTATAAAAGATCTATTGTAAACAGGGCTGAATGGTTTTCTAGTATTGGTACCGGTTTACTCCCCGATAATGTATCTTGAGACTACACAGCCCCCATTCTCCCCAACCCCTTTGTTGTCCACTTTCTTTTTTGTTTTTTTTGTTTGCTTGTTTTGAGACGGAGTTTCGCTCTATCGCCCAGGCCTGGAGTGCAGTTGGGCAGAGATCTCAGCTCCTCCCCGAGCTCCGCCTCTGAGTTTATGCCATTCTCCTGCCTGGGCCTCCTGAGTATTCATAGCTGCAAATTACAGGCACCGTCTACCTTACCCGGCTAATTTTTTGCCTTATTTTAGTAGAGATGGGGTTTTACTGTGTTACAGGATGGGTCTCGATCTGGTGACCTCACTGGCGATCCCGCCTCGGCCTCCCAAAGTGCTGGGGGTTGAGTGAGGCCACTTTGCTTTTCTTTTGTTTTCACTGAGATGGACTGTCGCCCCTGTTGACCAGAGCTGGAGTGCCAGTGTGCGATCTTGGCTCACCTGGCCTCTGCCTCCCGGGTTCAAGCGATTCTCCTGCCTGCCTCAGCCTCCCGGGTAGCTGGGACTACAGGTGCGTGCCACCACGCCCAGCTAGTTTTTGTATTTTTAGTAGAGCTGGCGTTCCTGTGTTGCCCAGGCTGGTGCTGAACTCCCACAGCCTCAAGTGATCCACCTGCCTCAGCCTCCCAGTAGCGGGATTCAGTGTGACCCACCCAGGCCTGGCCTCCGTTTTGCTATTTTTGGAGCTCTGAAAGACATTCTGACCTTCCAGGTGTGAGCCACCAGGCCTGGCCTCCGTTTCTTTATTTTTGGAGCTCTTGAAGAGACAGTGACCTCCCCCAGGCTAACCCTTGGGAAGCCTGTGGGATTTTACCCCACTCCCTCCACTATCCCAAGGGAGGTTCCAGGGACCACGAAGATGGGAAATCTACTGGACTTAAGGACTTCGGAGACAGGCCTGGTCCACGAACTCCGTGTGAGCTTGGGCAAAGGACGTGACCTTTCAGAGCTAGTCTGTAAGTCTTTGAGGGACTGACCAAGGGTACCTTAAATGTGGAGGAAGCGGCTCGTTTGAGTCGCTGGCTGGCGAGTCAGGGGCTCATCTGGGAACAGCATGGGGAGGGGGTGGTGTCTGGGCTCTGTTCCTATCTGGGGCCCGTGGGGCCCTGCATCCTTGGGTGGCAGTGAGTATCCCATCAGTGGGGTATGTAAGTACAGAGGCCTGGCTCCCTCGGGAGTCTCTGGGGATGAAGAAGGAGCTTTGATAGGGACCCAAGTTCTCAGGCAGAAAATTTGGCTCTGTTTATGTTTTAATCGGACCCTTTTCAGGCTGGGGCTCCCCCCAGTCCCCAGGCTACAGCCTGGAGGTGTCTCTGGCCAGCCACAACATCCAGCTGCTGGCTCTCGGCTCTGTCCATTTGCCCAGAGGGAAGAAGGGCGGGTGGGCAGAAGGAAGGGGCTGCAGACAGATCATCAACCCTCCCCGCCCACCCCGGGGGGGGCCTCCCTGTCTCCGGAAAGGTGGCCCAGGGCCGCCAGTCCAGTCACCCCAGAAATATCCAAGGCGTTGGGGGCAGCCTTTTACGGCCAGCCCTGCCTGGCTATGTGGCCGTCGTGTGCCTGGTTAGACGCCCGGCCACCCGGCTCCGAAGGCCATCAGTGGGGGCTGGCCTCGGCCCTCCAGCTGCCCCGTTCTTTAGCTGCAGAGGTTCCTGGGCTCCCGCCTCCTCCTCCTCACTGGAGTCTGATTCTTCCACATCACTACGAATGTCCTTCTCCATCTGGGGAACAGAGAGAGGGATGGAGCTCGGAGCAAGGAGGTAGGAGGAGCTTGGGGCTGGGGCCCCTGGGGAGGTCGAGTCATACCTGACCCTTCTTTATGAAGCTACAGAGCATGCTCAGAATGAGGCAAGACCAGAACACGTGTAGCAGCTGCAGCAACACCAGAAGCCCGTTGCAGAAGTAGTAGCCGAAGAAAGGGCCCCTGTTGCCCAGGGACTCGTAGTATGTGGTGTAAAGGATCCTACAGCGGGAGGGAGAGGAGGAGGCCGGGGCTTGACCAGCTGCTGTAGCCCCTAGTCCTAGGGATTTCTAACTGGCATGGCCTTCCCTGCTCCATAACCTTCTATGGCTCCCTAGTGCCCCCCCACCCCATCATACCTACACTTTTTTTTTTTTTTTTTTTTGAGACGGGGTCTTGCTCTATTGCCCAGGCTGGAGTGCAGTGGCAGGATCTGGACTCACTGCAAGCTCCACTTCCTGGGTTCACGCCATTCTCCTGCCCCAACCTCCCGAGTAGCTGGGACTACAGGAACCCGCCACCACGCCCGTCTAATTTTTTTGTCTTTTTAGTAGAGATGGGGTTTCACTGTGTTATCCAGGATGGTCTCGATCTCCTGACCTCGTGATCCGTCCGCCTCGGCCTCCCAAAGTGCTGGGATTCCAGGCGTGAGCCACCGCGCCCGGCCCATACCTACACTTGAGCTGGGTACGCGAGGGCCCCTCTCGCTTGTACTAAATGAGCAGAACACACATAAGCTCCCTGACTGGCCATTCATGAACCCCACCCAAGCGGGTACTTATGATCCCAGCTGCTTTCCTAGGTGGGACTCTGGCACCTTCTCTCTACTCCTCAGATCCCCATCACCTCCCTCTTCATCAGCAGGTGACCGCCTACTCACCTCAGAGGGGAGGGGCTTCATGTCTCAGGAAGGCAAGCGGTGGGGACTCAGCTCCCAAGGAGTATAAAAGGGGAGGGGCCTCACCTCCAGGAAGGCAGAGAGGGTGGGGCCTCATCTCCCAGGTAGCCAGACAGGGGCGGGGCTTTGTCTCCCAGGGAGGCTGGGAGGGGCGGGGCCTCATTTTCACTGTGCAACCCAAGCCAGTAGGAAAGAATGTTCCCCAGCACCGCTCCTCCCCTCAAACTCCTCCTTGCTTGTTGCCTGGGACACTGTCCTGGAGCCCAACTCCCACCACACCCTCTCTTCTCAAACTCAGCTCTGGTTCTTTTGTTGTTTTGAGGCGGAGTCTCACTCTGTCCCCCAAGGCTGGTAAACAAATGGTAAGTCCCTCTTAAAAAGAAAGCTAACCATCTTGCAATCATGGAAAATAAGCATGAAGTACACATAGAAGAGGTAAAAAAAAAAAAAGAATAAAATGTAATGTAATATAAAAAGAAAAAAAAAAAAAGATAAGAAAAAGAAGTTATAAGTAAGCAATAAATTTAAACAATACAAATGGAAGATAACTTCAGCACAATGTAACAACTTACATAAAACCAATGCCTGTAAACCAACGTGGGCATGGAAATCAAACGGCAATGCTTCTCAAAGCGTTAGGACAGGCAGGTTTCTCAAAACGCCAACCTCCATCCTCGGCTTTGTAAGATGTTGGCACACCCAGCCTCCTGAACTGTGGCAAAGGGCTCCCATGCAAAGTAAACTATAAACTAGACAATCTGGTGGGGTGGGCAAGTTGAGAGCACAGTGCCACTTCAGGCTTGGCTTCATCACTGGACATGCAATGGCAATTGTAATATGCTAGGGATGAAAGCACATGTTACATGACTTGACACAGTGGTTGGTGCAAAGAGAACACTTCCTCAAATGAGCTGCCTGCGCTAGAGCACTGTGCCAGGTAGGGGCCACAGTATGTCCCCAGGGGTAAAGCAGACATGAATATCCTGGCTTAGCTCTGCCATGTGACAGGCTGGGGGGAATCAGAACCCAAAAGCAAAGTTCACTTGTTGAAACCTGACAGAGTATTCTGTGGTGGACAGGTTCCAAGTTAATGAGGCGGTAAAGAATGCAAAAGGTAATGAGAGGCTGGGAGTTTCAACCCTACTCCAGCGGTCAGCCGCAGCTGACCACCGGGTGAGGCGTGACCTAAGTGAACTCCCTGCCTGCACTTGAACTATCCTGTGGCCCCCCAGAAGAGTGGGGCCTTGAGCCACTACCTGGCTCCTCATCACCCTTCGCCTCTCTGCTTGGCCGGGCCGCGAAGGCAGAGTTAACGCCAGTGGCCCTCAGGCAAATGACTGACCCTCGCTGCAACCTCAAGTTCATCTGTCAAACACAGGAGTAGCCAGACGGCAGTTAAAAACACCCCCTGTAATGTCCCAGCACTTTTGAGGCTAAGGTAGGACTCGCCGAGCAGATGAAGCATTCGCCCACCAACGTGGTGAAACCCTGTCTACTAAAAATACAAAAATTAGCTGGGCATGGTGGCACACACCTGTAATCAGCTACTTAGAGGCTACTGAGGGAGGAGTAGTGGTTTGAATCCAGAGGGTGCGGAGGTTGCAGTGAGCCAAGATCACATGCTACTGCAACAGCCTGGGCTATATAAAGAGACCCACCTTTGACCTGAGTCCTCAAATGTCTAGGAAGGCCTCTTTTGCACTGTGGCTTTGCTCTCAGCTGAGCCCCCAAAGATGAAGATTTCCAAAATCCAGAGGCTGGGTGTGTGGTGGCTCACTCCCAGCACTTTGGGAGGCCGAGGCATGTGGAGCAGGCGACAGGAGTGCCCACAAGACCTCAGCCTGGGCACACCAATGTGTGAAACCCTGGTCTCTTGGGCTTAAAATATAAAAAAGTTAGCCAGGTATGGGCGGTGAAAATTTGTAGTCCCAGCTACTTGGGAGGGTGAGGCAGAGAACTTCTTAAACCCTGTGAGGAGGCGGAGGCTGTGGCGACGAGATCGCGCCACTGTGACTCCAGCCTCAGGTGGTAGAGCGCATCACTCAAAAAAAAAAAAATATCCAGAGTTCTTTCCGCCATCTTCCTTTGAAGGCAGACTCCCCCCTAGCTGGGAATTTCAGAGGTTCAGCATATCAAAGCCACAGCCCACACCAAAGTGGGGGTAAGAGAGCCTGCTGCATGATCATGACAACGGAGTGCACTGGATAACGGAGTGGTGGCCAAGGTGGGATGCCAGTGCTTCTGGGCCAGCATGCTGCAGCCTGCCTGAGAGGAGCCCAAAGAGCTGCTCCCTTCCCCTGAGATCTTGAGCCATGGGTCCACAGGTTTCCCAACAAGGTGATTCCCACTCAAAAGTTTGTTCATTCATTATCTGCCCACCCATCCCCCGTCCATCTATCTACCTATCCACATCCCTCTGCTCTGGCAACCAACACTAGAATCCGTTCATCCATCATATCCACCTATCCATTCTCCAGTTATCAACTTTCACATTTTTAACCATAATATCCATCCATCTGTCCACTCTCACATTCATACATCCGTCAGTCTGTCCATCTACCTGGCCATTCATCCATCTACCCATTCAACTCATCTTCACCATTCGCTGTCCACCATCCATCATCTGTCCATCCAACTCCTGCCATCTATCCACCTACCCATTAATCCCATCCGCCCATCCAAACATCTGTCCACCCACCCAGTTCATCTATTCACCCATCTAATCATCCATCCACCACCCAAACGTCTGTCCATCCAATCATCTTCATTCCACTCATCCAAACTTTGCCTACCCGCCCATCATCCATCCACCTATCTAAACATCTGTGCTTTCAACCATGCATCCACACACCTACCATTCTGATCCATCCACCCACTTTTTCTACACTCCACCATCCAAAAGGTCTGTCCATCTACTCCCTGGCCTAACCATCTGGTCCAATCATGTAAACATCTACTCCACTCATCACTCACTCAGTATCCTTCCACCCACCCATCCTTCTTCTGTCCTCTGCCCTTCATCTAGCCTTCTATCCATTTCTTCTCCATCCATCCATTTATCCATCTTGTCCTTTTTGCATAAAGTAATATATACATCCAGCCTGTCCATCCAGTGGTAAGAGACACCTCCAACTGACTTTGTAGACACGCACAGTCGTGGCCTTGTATGCATATTGCGCAGGTAGAACAACAAAGTTAATACATTCCTGCCTTAGTTCATAAACCAATAGAGAAGGCAGCCATTGCTAAAGTGCAAACAGATTCAAAAGCCCGAATGATATGGGAAAGGCGGAATAATGGGCTGAGAGAAAACAGAGTGGCATGATTTTAATGATCAAGAGAGGCCTTTAAGGAGGTGCACCACTGAGCTGATCTAAAGATGAAGAGGTCAGCAGCCGGTGCGGTGGGCCTGCGCCAGACCTCACACACTTTGGGAGGCTGGGAGCCAGGTGGTGTGATCACCCGAGGCTTGGGAGTTCAGGCATGTGCTTCCACCTCACATGCCAGAAACCCTCGTCCCATTAAAACACAAAAATAATTGGCTGGCATGGTGGCATGTGCCTGAAACCCATACTTGGGAGGCTGGAGTGTAGGAGAATTCACTTGAATCCCTGGGAGGCAGAAGGCATGAAGCCGAGATCAGCAAAGCCGCTGCACTCCCAGCCTGGTGACAAAAAGGAAAGCCCGCCCTGGGAAAAAAAAAAAAAACACCAAAGATGTGAGGAGGTCAGCCAGGCACAGGGCTCTCATGCCTTCGTAATCCCAACACTTCCCTATGGTAGGTCGACGCAGGTGGATTGCTTCTGAGCCTGCAGGGGAGTTCTTCCACAAGACCAGCCTGGGTGCAACATAGCGACTCTGTCTCTACAAAAAAATTTAAAAGCAGCTGGGCAGGTGTGTGGTGGCATGTATCTGTAGTTCTAACTATTCAGGAGGCTGAGGTGGGAGTCCGACTTGAGCCCAGGGAGCTTTTCTGAGGCAGGCTGCAGGGGACTTTTATAATCACAACCCACTGTATTCCAGCCTGAGGACAAAGCAAGACCCTACATTTGGGAAAACAAGAAGAGAAGGTTGTAGGGGTTTGCACATTGCATGAAAGTGGGGGCTAGGGGAGAGAGGCTTAGATAAATACACAGCAGGTGCAGGGTTTGAGGCAGGACTGTGCTGGCATGTCGGGAGAACAGCGAGAGGCCCGTGGTGGCTGGTACAGAGTGAGCGAGGGGGAGAGAGGGAGCAGAGAGAGGAGGGCAGGTAGGTGACAGAGGGGCAGCACAGAGCCTGCAGGTAAGGCATGGGCCAGTAGGGAAGAATCTGGATTATTTCC